TGCAGGTAGTTACAAAATTCAGATATGAGATAAAATCGGATAGGGATGAAATCGTTTAGGGATGAACGGGGTTAAGAGTTTTAGCCAAATGTTTTATAAGATAGTATAGATATGGATATCTACACCGTTATATGAGTTGACTAATCCCAAAATGATCATCTGTTTTCTGGGTAGTCCAGAGTCATCACATTTTAACTTTTGTGGCCACAAGGGGATTAAATGAAATAAACCCATCCTTCGACATCAATCAAGCTATATATATATATCATATGATTAATTTCTTATAACATCAAATAAAACTGTTGATAAAAAGGTTCATTACTTAATATTAGAGTCTCATGTCGGTAAAAAAAAAATGAGTCATTTATATTTATATATGTTCCAACACACTTTTTAGACATTTTTTTTTCAGAAATTGAATTAAAGGTGTTCCACATATTTAACATGATATGAGACTTGGAGTCTAACATCTCCAAGGGACCAATTCGCTTAGAGGTTGTTTGTTTACATATTAATAATTCCATCAAGAGGATGACTTTGAATCGTTAAAAAGTGAATCTTGTTTGACAAAAAAAAAATCTGTCTCTTAATGGTTGTAAAACTCTCTAAATGATTTTGTATCATGAGTCTCCCGTAACCATTAAGCGTCATAATTTCGTCGTAAACAATTATCAAACAATTATATTTCATTTTTCATTATATTATGAAAGCCTCTTAATCATTATAACCACTTAATCATTCTGCACTGAACCATTCAGCAACTGCCAAATAGCTTCATTTCAGATTGCATGATAAAGTCTTTCATCAGTTAGACACGATCTCTTGAAAACTTTCCCATGGTTCTTATAAGAGAGAATCAAGAGGTTTAATATATTCTGACAATCCATGAACACTATTTTCAGCCAAGTCTATTATTTCAGTGTCAAAAATGAACAAGTTGAGGAGATAAGCGTGTACGAGTTCATTAAAAGAGCACGTTGGGAGAAAAAAGTGTAGCATTAATTAGTAGAAGCGATCAAACCACACATCCCTATGTCATCTATACTTCGTAGAATCATGGAATGGTTATTTGTCTTACTTTTTTAGCAGTACGTTGAGAGTTACTGGAGTGCTACATGGTATAGCCCCTTTATAGTTACTGGAGTGCTACATGGCCTTGGTAACACGTAAGCTTTAAACCACGCTACAAAGCCATGTAGTTTAAACTTAACGATGAACACCCGTTAACGCCCGATTATCATTTTGTGAGCAGGTAAATTTACAAATAATTAAATACCATTATGATTAAAGATATTCGTCTCTTCAATCACAGTAGGACATTAACCAAAATCAACACATGCTTCATCAACAGTTTTTTAAAAGGTCGATAACCTATTTTAGCAATTGAGAATTATCAATCTGATTAATGTTATAACATTATTTCCCTGTGTTTATCTGTGCTTCCCATTTTTAAGTGAAAGATCCAAGTCTTTTTTTTTTGTTATTCCTTTATATCTTTTTGTTGATAGAGTTGTTGAAACTAGTTTCTTATGGCGACTTTGGCGTTAAAGGCGACAAATTTCAACCCCTCAAAGCTTTATATGGCGTCGCTAGTTTGTAAATCATGGATATACGGGTTTCGGCTAGTGCAGGAGGTGGTGTTGCTTCCATGTTCGGGGAAAGGGTTCCAGCACGGTCAAACCAAGATGAACCCATCCTTGTGAAGGTTATGGATTTGTTCTTAAAGGGTAATCTGTGAGTCCATTGTGGTTTTAAAGGTGTGTTTGGTGTCCAGACAGGATAGGACAGAACAATTGTTCAGTGTTTGATGAAACAAAACATAAAAAGTAAAATGAGCAATTAATTTACTCTTAATGAGTTGTTTATATATTTTGATTAATTTATGTAATTTACTTTTCTATAATAAAATAATATAAAATATATCATTAGAAAGTTTTTGCAAAAAGAATTAAAATGATACCAAAGTAAAAAGTTTATGTAGTTTCCAATTTTTATTTTTATCTCTTTTTTACATTATTTTTTTATTATTAATATATAATAAATTACATAAATTAATAAAAATATATAAACTATATAAAAATAATATTTTAAGAACTAGTAAAATGAAAGTTTGAAAAGTATAAAATACAATAAATAAAATTTAAAGAATAAATAAAATGTAAAATGGGGACCTATTTGATATGGAACAGGGATTCCTGTTTTATTCTGTATTCATAAATTAAAAGTATATTTTACTTAAAGTATATTTTTATATATGATAAAGTATTCACAAATTACTTCTCATTTTTTGTGAGATTTGAACCTTTGACTTTCTTTAGATTTACCGATAACCCGAGTATTATTGACCAAGGACCCTTTGGTTGCAATAAATTTATGTTCTACTATTTCTCAGCATCCTCATTATTTTCAATTTTCATTTTGATCCTTTTTAGACATTTCTACAACGAACCCGATTTCTTAAAACTTAATAACAAGGGTGGTGTCTGATTCGTTTGAGCTTGGCTCCAGAGATCAAAAGTTCCAGGAGGTCTCAAGTTCAAATCCAAGGAGGAACAAAAATCTCCTTGTGGCCACGGAGGTTAAAAGCGGTGACTCCGGGTTACGTGCAAAGCAGGCGGTCGCCCTGAGATTAGTCGGCTCGCATAGCGGGTTGGATATCCAGGTTAATAAAAAAAATTGTAAATCAAAATGCTAAACGACTCGTTAACCAACCTTTTCAAAATTTCCTAATATTCGAGAATCGTGAAGGTTCGAGTTACTTGGTTTAATTGGATCGGTCTGTTCGGGTTTGACCGGTGATCAAGCCACCGTAGCTGCAAAGAAAATTAGAGCCGAATAAGGGTTTTGGGTTAATTGGGTTAGATCTCATGTACCAGATGGAAAAGAAAAAGAAAAGTGTGGCCGCTGCTATTGGGCTAAACCAAATATTCCTTAATTGGGCTAAGCCGCTTCTTTGTTGTTAAAAGTCTCAACTCTCAAGTAGAGATGGCCAAACGTAACCGGCCCGGCCCGTAACTGGTGGAGGCCCGGAACCGAGACCGGCTGAAGACCGTAACCGACCGGGCCTTAACCAGTTACGGCCGGTCCCGATCGCGACAAAAACTAGCAAAATTATTCAGCAACCCGCTTCTTTGTTTGTGATTAATTCATTCAGTTTGTTGAATCTTTAATATAAAAATATTCATTTAACGTAAAATACACAGTTATGGGTTGTTTGTTAGTTGCTGAATAATTTTGTATAGAATAATTAAGTGGTCAGAATGATTAAGAGACTTTCATGAAATAGTGCAAAATGAAATGTTTGGTTATTGTTTACAATGAAATTAGGGCGTTGATTGGTTAAGGGATGATGATACAAAATCATTCAAATGGTTTTAGAACCATCAAGAGATAGACTTTCGTTTTGCCAAACAAGATCCACCTCTTAACGATTTAGAGGTTGCTTCTTAATAGAACTATGAAGAGATAAACAAACAACCCCTTAGATGATATGATTGAGATCTTAAAATTAAGTCCAATAAGAACTTTAATATTTAATTTATTTATAATATTTAATTTATTTATAATATTTATTTATATTTGTTAACAATAAGTGTTAGAGTCGTGCCTTATTTGTTTTTTTAAGAAAAAAACTTTTCTCAGTCTCTTATATTTGATTCTTTAAGAGATAGAGTCATCCAGACTGTTTATTTATTTATTTTTTTCAATTTTTCGGAGACGCTTATGTCTTATTGTCGTGTTATCTGGTAAGAGGTAAACCAACATCTTATTTGCCTCATATTGTTCTCTAAACCTTCAACAACGTCGTTTCTCAATCATTAAACTTAATTGATCATATTCCTCTCAATCGATCCTTATCAAATCGATTCTTACCTCTCTCTCAATATATGTATTTTAATAGGATTTAAATGTGTAAATATCATTAATGAAATATTTCGTTTAAATGAATGCTATTATATAATTTAGATGTAAATTTCATAATGATGATGAATAAATATGTGAAATTGTATAAATTTATGAATAAATTCAACACAATAATTTTTTTATGGGTATAACAGACTATTTAAGCAAATTCACACATTTATCAGTTTATAAAAACAAACAGTCTTATTGATCCAATATTCATATTTCAGCAACCACCTCTTATCAAACCCATATATATTTAGATATTATTCGTGTGAGAAAGAGAGTTAAGATGAGAAACATGAGAAAAGATCTGGACCATTGATCACATTTATTCTCAAACTCACTCATGAATTGCTCTTGATACATGGATTAATCCGGTTATTCTCGATGCATCTCATTCTAATGTGCATCTAAAAGTATATATTTTTTCTTACACTTCTCATCAAAATCCAACCCATTATAAACAAATTTAAAGATAAAGAAAATTTAATGCCCAAATCTGAAGCAAGAATATTCTTCAACATGGTTCATCAATTATACTCCAAATTTAAAGATAAGATATTTGATATACGTTAGACGACCCGAACCCATAACCACCTGACCCGAATCCAATAACCCCAAATTGCAAAGTGGTTTTTGCATACTCTTTTTTTATTAACCCGGATATCCAACCCGTTATACGAACCGACTAACCCGGATATCCAACTCGCTATGCGATCTGACTAATTCCAAAACGACCAACCTGCTTTTCAGATAGCCCGGAGTCACCGCATTTGAACATCCGTGGCCACAAGATGATTTTTATTCCTCCTAGGATTTGAACTTGAAACCTCCTTGTATTTTTAACTTTTCGAACCAAGCTCAAACCAATCAGATACAATCCTAGATACTCTTATTTCTAATCCATATAAATAATGCAATGGATTCATCGATTACAGTTCTACAATAGTTTTTGCCCGTAAACTTTGGCGTTGTTGTGTTGTGTGTTTCTTTCTTATCCCACGTGTATTCTCCCTTTTTGCTTTCTCTTTGGTTTTCCCCTCTCAAGAAGAATAATACCAATCCAATCGCTGCTCATCTTTAAACCCGCCACCGGTCGCCGGCCACCGCCGTCAACATTCATCACTACAACCCATTTCATCAATCTGGTTTCAAGATTAAAAATATCGAAGATCCACGATCAAAAACCCTTTCTTTCATCTGGGTATCTTTTAAAAATCCACAGGTCACCGTCATCGTACTTCACGTAACTTCTGTCTTTCATTTCTTTTGTATCAATTTCTGAAAAAAACTTCCCTCGCAACATTCTTATGTTACTCATCTCGCAACTCACAATCCATCACTTTTGTTCTTGAATTCCGGACCGATTTTCTTGATTCTGAATTGGGTTTTATTGATTTTCTTGGATTTATCAAAGATTGAATCTGTTTCACTGATTTCTTTCTTCTTGTTGTATATGGGCTGAGTGAGCATTTCATGGGAGGTGTTGGGAGTGTTGGACCACCATCGAAACGCAGGAAAGTGTCTTCAACAGAAATACCCGAGAAATCATCGGTTTCAATGGCTGATGATGCAATCGGTTCAAAGGGAGTTAAGAAAGTTGAGTTTGTTAGACTCATAGCCGATGCATTACATTCTCTTGGGTATAGAAAGACTGGTGAATATCTCGAGAAGGAATCAGGCATTACTCTTTTTCCATCTGTTATTAATGAATTCAGTCAACAGATTCTTGATGGTAATTGGGATGAAAGTTTGAATTCTTTAAGAAAAATATCTATCCTTGATGAATCTGTTGTCAAATCGTCGTCTTTTGTAATATTAGAGCAGAAGTTTTTACAACTTTTGGATTCTCAGAACCCAGATGATGCTTTAAGAACATTAAGAACCGAAATAACCCCTCTTTCTATAAATCACAATCGGGTTCGAGAGCTTTCTTCTTTGGTGTTGTGTTCTGGTCAAGCCATGGTCAAACCAAAGCCCAGATCAGTGGTCCTCCACGATTTGCAGAAGTTGTTTCCTCCAAATGTTATGATCCCAGAAGGCAGATTGCTGCATTTAGTAGAACAAGCTCTTGACTTGCAACGTGATTCGTGTTCTTTTCACAATTCTTTAATTGGGAAGACATCATTATTCATCGATCATAACTGTGGAAAAGATCAGATTCCGTCTAAGACATTACAGATTCTCCAAGAACATGAAGATGAAGTCTGGTTTCTGCAGTTTTCCCATAATGGGAAATTCTTGGCTTCATCATCCAGAGATAAATCAGCCATCATATGGGAAGTTAATCTAGATGGTAAAGTCTCATTGAAGCATAGATTATTAGGCCACAAGAAACCAGTCTCAAGTGTTTCTTGGAGCCCCAATGATGATCAGATCCTCACATGTGGTGTAGAAGATGTTATTAAGCGTTGGGACGTTATTTCTGGCGAATGCCTTTGTGTTTATCAAAAGAACGATCTTGGAATGGTTTCGTGTTGTTGGACTCCAGAAGGCGATCGTGTGTTTTCAGGTGCTACTGATAAAAGTGTCATCATGTGGGATTTGGATGGGAATGAGTTAGAATCTTGGCCCAGCCAGAAAACTGTTAGGATCTCGGATTTGCAAATAATGGGTGATGGCAGGTATATAGTCTCGATTTGCAAGGAAAATATGATTGATATATTCGATAGATCACCATTAGGATGCGAAAGAATAATCAAGGAGAATCATAACATAGTTTCTTTTACTTTATCCGAGGACAAGAAGTTCTTGCTGGTTAGTTTGGTGAATCAAGAAATACATCTTTGGCGTATACATGGAGACATACGACTTCTGGCAAGGTATAAGGGTCATAAAGTTTCGCGATTTGTGGTTAGAGCTTGTTTTGGTGGACTTGATCAAGCGTTTGTTGCTAGTGGCAGTGAAGACTCTCGGGTGTATATATGGTACAGGGAGACGGGTGAGCTCCTAGAGACGCTAGCAGGCCATTCTGGAGCCGTTAACTGTACTAGCTGGAACCCAACGAATCCACACATGTTGGCATCAGCTAGTGATGATCGAACCATACACATCTGGGGTCTGAACCATGTAGACTGAACCAGAAACACACACACTTCACAGATAAAACTGGAAGAATCTTGAATTACTGATGTTTCTGAATATGGATGGCTTGGTGTTGATGTTGGTACTGAAATCTGCATATTGATCAACAGTTTGAGGTGTTTTCATTTGAGTGCATAAGGATTTCTTGATATCTTGTGTTTTCTACACCTGAGAAATGGTATTTATGTTCAAATTGTGTTCTTGTTTATGCTATCATTCTGTTTGAAAAGAATGCTTCCCTTTTGTTTCCGGTTTAGCAAATGAGGATCATGACCGCCCTTTCGGTTATACAAATCCCGTTGCTTAATTCAAATGTATGTGACAGTAGACTTGGTTTCATATATCGCAACGAAAAGGGGGAACTCAAGTGACAAATGTTGTGGTTTTTGCTTTCAGTGATTACTTTGATGAAACAGAATTTTATTTAAAGTTCATGTTTGTATTTTTTAACGGTTGTCGTCCCTAAATTTCAAAAACTCGAAATTTGGTTCTTTATGTTTGTCAATTTCCAGCAATTTTGTCCATATGTTTAACCGTCGTTAACTTTTTTCTTGAATTCTAATTAAATGACTAAAATACTCTTCATTTGACTGAATTTCACGAAGAAAAAAAAAAGTTATGACCATTAAATAGAGGGACCAAAACCGTTGAAAATTAACAAATATGAGGGATCAAATTCAAGTTTTCAAGTCTAGGAACAATATCTATTAGAATTGTAAACGTTAGGGACGAAAATTGAACTTTATTATTTTATTCAAGAATTACTTTTTTATTTCTGGGCATAAGCAGAATAGCAGAAAGTACGAGGACTAGATTGTAAATATGTTAATTCCTAAACTTTGAGATGGATCGGATCCTCATCCGGAACCAAATATAATTAATTTGGTACATATCATTTATAATTTGTTGGTATACGGTATTGGTATAAAAATGTTGATACTATACCCACCCCTAATAATTGGTACGTAAAATTTTATACCATGCATCAACTACATTTGGTATCAACTTTTTTTGCGTCAGTACATGTTGCTACAGTTTTGTACCAACATCGTAAAAGTTGAAGTTACAAATTTATTTATATCTAGATGCACTAAAACCCTCGAGCATTCAAAAGCATGTGGATATCTGTCGTACCACTTATCTCTACCTATATAAACATTCGAATGACCTTCATGTAATACAAGCATTCACATAACTTTCATGTAATACAAGCATTCACTAGTAGTCTAATACAAGCAGCCATTGAAGAGCGACAATGGATCTTGAAGGTGTAGACGATCAATTAAGGTTGAAAAAGTTACGCGAATGAATTCAATCAAGTTTTATATATCGATCCATATTCCATAAAATTGCTATAGTATTTTCTATGACATTTTAATATCGTCCGACTGATGCTTTTGCTTCTGTTCAATACATAATGACTGAAGCTAATTTCCCGATCAGTTCATCTATGGTCAGCAAGTATGATGGACCTAATGATGATCTTACATGTATTTCGTGTATATCTCACCGGTGGATTTAAAAAACCTCACGAATTAACTTGTGTTACAGGTGTGGTTTTGGGTGTATTAACTGCATCTTTTGGTGTAACTGGTTATTCCTTACCTCGGGTCCAAATTGGTTATTGGGCAGTGAAAATTGTAACAGGTGTACCTAAAGCTATTCCTGTAATAGGATTTCCTTTGGTAGAATTACTGCAGGGAAGTGCTAGTGTGGGACAATCCACTTTGACTCATTTTTATAGTTTAACACTTTTGTATTGTCGCTTCTTACTGCCGTATTTATGTTAATGCACTTCCCAGTGATATGTAAACAAGGTATTTCTGATCCTTTATAAATATTTTTTAATTTGTCATTTATCACATGGGGTAGGAACGATAGTATTTTATTGCTATAAGTACGGATTATCGAAAATAATAAGACATGTATTTGGATATTTCCCTTGAACTCTGCAATATTTTTTATTTTACATCAATAGTTGAAGGGAATTTTCCGAAGAGAAAATGGATTATGGGAATGTGTGACTTGAACTGGTCTGTACAGATATGTGCCTTTTTATTTATCTGCCACATTTGAATTCACAACCAAATGTGTCTTTGTTGCAACCATCACGTAAGCCCATATAGAGGATAGGTTGGTTCGCTTTGAAAAGAATATTTTCTATGATCAGATACGAATTATGTCATACATGAGCAGACTCCATAAGATCTAGTTCACTTAACTTCAGATTGAACTTAATAGCATACAAATGCATTCATTTCCTCTGGATTGACACAATCTATGATACTATCGGTGTGAAACAAAGAGGACCAATCATAAGGTCTACTTTGTAAGAACTGGATTTTTTGCACTCGATATCGATAGTTTCAACTCCAGGAAAAAGAATCCAGTCAAAATCTTTTTTTCTTACATAAAACCATTCATATATCGTATATGCGGGTGTCTAGATAACATATATTTTATATGGATTCATTTGGTTTTTTTGATTCTTGCTCGAGCCGGATCATGAAAATTTATCATGTCTGTTTCCTTCGAGGGATGGATCTATAAGAATTAACCTATCCCAATAACAAAAAAAAAAACCTAACTTGAATGATCCTGTATTAAGGGCTAAATTGGCTAAAGGTATAGGTCATAATTATTACGGGATCGGAAATGTGAACCTGCTTGGTAGTGATATATGTTACTATTTTTATTTATCCTAGAATAAGTTTCCACTTTTAGAAGTATATTGATTATATCCTTAATTATAAGATGGAGAAAATTAATTCTATATAATTTAGGGTAATTTTGTCATTTTGTTAATTAAAAAATATAATGATCATACATTTATAAAATAATGCGCCTTTTCATTATGGACATTTATTTTTTGAGATGGAGGAGGGAGTATTTTCCTAGCCTGAAGTAATTTATGACGATTACGAGATCTATTACACCAAACCGATTACGTATCTAATCTGTTGTCATGAGTTGGACGTACCGATAACGATACGGTTTCTACACCACTAGAGTATAATGTTCATATTACTCCGTGCTTCAAGGCATTTCTTCACAAACCTATTTATATCGACAACTTATATTGCTCGGTCCGATCTAACTTATGCCGTACATAGGGATGGTGATTTGCCCCGATCCGGTAGAGAACCCGGCTCACCCGACCCGAAAGCACATATTGAGTAAAGCTTTCCGGGTAAGACTTCCTTGTCATGGAAACCTATAACGACATGATACAACCAAAACAAATTTTGACTTTTTCCTAGCAATGCATAGAAATGGAGACCAAAATTGAACAAGTTGACAGTGAAATAAGCCAAGTATTTTAACTTCCAAAAGCTTAATAGGGTTCTAAAAAACAAAACAAAAAAAGGAAGAAAAGTTTCTAAATGCAAAACTCTCAAATGCAGCAGACATTACATGATCAAAGGGATCTTTCTTTCCATCTATGTCAACCTCTGAGCAGCCTCCTTGGCCAGAACCCTCTCCTTAGCCTTTGTTTTGGCCTGGGATTTGGAACCCATTATTCCACCACCCCACTTCTTCCTATACTCCTCATATTTGTCATTGAAATTGGCCTATAATTCAAACAAATCAAAATTATCAAATCACAAATCAAACCATAAGCTGCACAAAAAACCTAAAAGAGTTCATCAAAAAGCAAGCAAACCTTGATGGCCTCCAAAATTCGGCTAAACTCCATCTTATCTTCGTTCTTGACTGTGGTCAAGCACAAAGCTGCTGCGGTTTTCTGGTGGACAATCTGATACATGCCACAACAATTTGTTAATTTCAACATAGAATAGTCGAGACCCATATAATGAAAATAAAAGCATGCCACTTACAGCTCCTAGCCGAGATTTTCCCTTCACTATGCAGTAAGGAATTTCCATCTTTCTGCACAAAGCAGGAAGCCAAACAACCAACTCGATGGGATCCACATCATGAGCAATGACAACCAATTGTGCCTTGTTCTGAAATGAGATATGAAAAGGCCTTTCTAAGAAGCAACAACAGGATATACACAATAAATAGACACAGATGGTAGGGGAAAAAAACAACCAACCTGCTCAATGAGATAGGTGACGTGATTCAGACCATACTTCACAACAATAGGCTTCTTAGCTTCGGCCGTCTTTCCTTCAGACTCAGCTTGAGCTCTTTTGAGGAGACGTTCCTTTTTTGCAGCTTTATCCTCAGGCCTATACTTGAGCAGCATCTTGAACAAAGTAGTTGCTACATACCATTAAGAAAGAAACTTCATTTTGCAGCTCAATGATTTAACCATTCATGAACACAAACTAGTGAAAGAAAGTAAAGTACTTTGGCCCACAATGATCCCAAAATCTTAAATCACATTTCAAGTACATCCACACTATGAATTGGTATATCAGGCACAAGTTACATTCATTACATTGGCAAGCTTTAATCTTGTAATAACTTTAGGAAAAAAAGTAAAAGATAACAAGGTAGAACAAGAAACATATAACAGATGAATAACAATCTTAAATCATGTATATTAACCTGTTGCAAAACAATTTCTAATCAGTATATACCCGCCGCTTAACTTACGGTCTAGCAGTGCAGATCATTGTTAATACCAAATTTTGAAAAAGAAATAGAAGCTGGATTATACAAATATACAGAAATGCTAATTTTACTATTGGAAACTTCTCAAGCAGCTATACAAAAGCATATAAGAAGACATCCTCAAAAACTGGTAAAAAGTGAAGTAGCGCTTTGGGAGCCATAATCCTCTAAAAAATTGGTTCTATCAAATGAAAGTCTCAAAAGAGATTTACAGGAATAGAATTGGCAACCAAATCTGTGATCAAGTTTAAACTAAACAGGCATGAGATAAGCACCATGGGAAAATTCATAGGAATTTGAATATCAAGAAACAAGCTTTCTGCAACACAATGTGTTGAGAAGCTGAAAAAAGTGATTGAAAGCTTATAGACAGACATTTGTAACCTGTAAACAATAATACATTGACAAGTAAAGAGACTAAGCATGCTGAAATCCTCATTCAAATTCAATGAAGGGGTTTTTTTATTTGCAACTATGATCAACATCTTTTACAGGAATAAAATGAAATGCGCAAACAGTTGTGAAATGCTCATCAATTTTCCAGGAAAATGCTTAATACCTTACTTGCTCAAAAATTAATCAGTTTCCAACAGAGATTAAACATGCAATAACCACAAACATAATGGTTAACAATTTATGTGAAAACAATCCATTTCACTCATCTTTGGTATTTCATCAGTGACCCTTTTGGAATATATGTATATATATATATATATATATCTTATATAATTTCAATTTAACTTCCAGTCTTCTATTCAGCTGATAAAAACGGCAATTTTAGACAATGCAAACATGTAGAATCCCCAGAGACACCAATTGAATGTTAAGTTGTTAACACAATTTTAACAGTTCATATGCTGACAAATAAAGAGCATGCAAAGAACACGATAATATCCATCAATTATTACCGAGATTCTTGTCGAGGGTCTTGGTAAACTGGTTCAAGGCAGGTGGGACCTTCAAACGCTGCTTGAGGATCCTCCTCTTCCTCTGAATGCGAACAACTTGTGGCCATCTTACGAACCTATGCACATCCTTCTTCGGAGGCAATGCACCGCCTATCCCAAACTGCTTAGGCCTTTTCTCGAACAACGGGTTCACCACCTTCTCCTGGATTAAAAAAAGCATACATACAAGCATATATTAAGTAGCTTGAATCGTAATACTGTATATGAACAGAAAACCCAAAACGATTTCACTTATCATACCGTCTTCTTCTTGGTTGCTACTGGCTTTCCACCTTTCTTTGGACCCTGCAATTGATTACAAATTATGCATATGTAGATTAGAATCATATGAGCAGAAAATAAGAATCAATCAAATAAAACCACACAAAAAAGATGACGAATCTAAGCAGTTAATGGAGGTAATGGAACAACTAATAATGATGCAAACACTTCTGCTGCCATTTTCCCGAACTTGTAAACATATAAATGATCAACATTAGCAAATAAAAGATGTAACAGAAGTAGATCGAGGGAGAAAGAATGGAGACTCGCCATGTCTGAAACTTGAGATTGAAGGTCTGGAAACGGCAGTGGCGAAAGGGTTTTCCGGTTTATAATAAAGACGAGGGCTTAGAGATTTTAGGGTTTCGCGTAAGATGGGCCAGCGGAACTGATCTGGGCTCAACCGGGTCGGGTTTGATGTTTTCTTGCACATCCCAACTAGCCCGTTAATATTTGAGATATCTCACCATCTCTTATTTATCAGATGGTAAAATGGATCGATTGGCGAATTCAGTAATTTTATAGATTAGTTGAACTTTAACTAGCAAGTACTAATGTATCATATGATTATTAGAAGGGAACTTGTACAATGCCGCGAGATATATCTTGATTTTAATATTTTATTTTAATCTTTATCTCAGTCGATGTTATAATATGTTCTTATGTGGTTTTGAAAAAACGATTATGTTTTTATTTTTTAATAAAATATAAATTTGAAAATATCATAAAATATTGACAAAAATATATCGAAATTAGTATCAAATTAACTATTTAAAATTCATCATCTTTGTGTAGTTTTTTATTCAAATTTTTGTATTATAATTTAATTTAGTTTCAATAACAAAAGTAATTTATATTTGGTTAAAGATAATAATTAATTATTTTATTAGAACTCGATAGTTATCTTAATTTTATTTTAGATCTTTTATATTTTAAAATGAGATGTTTATCCTCTATTTAATTATGTTTATCCGCAATTAATTACACAAATTCAAACATAGAGCTTTAATAAATTGTATTTATGCATAATTTGCTTGTAATCTTGAATTTTAAGTAATATGTATCAATATACGATACTTCATGCATAAAAAATGGTTTTTAGGAGTTTTTGTCAAATGTTTTATAATATAGTATAGATAATTAATAGTAAGTGATTACATAAGTTGATTTCTACTAGTTTTCATCCTTCGTAAACAAAGTCATTACATCTTGATTTGTAGCCTTGTACTTCTTTTCAACGGCACAAATTGCACATACATTCAAAATGGTGTTAAAAAACATTAACATGATGTGACATGAAAAACCAGCCTATTTACATTAATTTACATAGTGTTACTCGGAAATCAGATTATTTAATATTGTGACCCCAAATGATGTCATTCTATTCCAAAAATATATCATAGGAAGTTTTTGATGATGGAACAAATTGATGATGTTGTATAAAAAATGTTCTAGCATATAATATTAATTTAGAAATTATTATTGATTGATTTTGCGTCTAGAATTACTCGGAAAACCGGTTTTTATATGAATTCAACGGTATTTTTGATGATAAAAACAATATATTGAAAAAATATCGTACTTATCGAGGGCTCCTTTTCACATCTCGCCCAGGGCTTAAAAAATGTCAAGAACGAACCTGATGCTCTCTTTGCTAAGTCAAGCATCCTCTACTTACTAAATTGGTAAATTTATCCCCATATGTTTGGTTTAACATGTTTTTGAATGATTTGGATTTGGTGGAATGATTTGGAAGTTTTGATATGTTTGGTTTGTAAGATTTAAAAAGAAATTAAATTTCATTCTTTATAAATAATTTATGAAAATAAACTATAAATGATTTTATAAAATTTAAGTTACTTATTAATTAATTTATTTTAACAAAAAGAATGCTTTTAATAAATTTTAAAATATTATTACAAAGAAATCCTATGAAATTTAGTAAAATACAACTACCTCAGGGGATTTCTAAATAAAATGTTTGTTTGATTTTTTTACACCAAAACAGGATTGAAATGGAATGCAACTAAATCCTACCAAATCCATAAATCCCTTAAGGGGGTGTTTGGTTTACATAATCGAATTTGATGAAATTGGAATCCATCAAAGAAATTTGACTTTGAAGGAATTAGAATGGAATTTGGCCACGCGTTTGGTTGGTGGCAATTGGAATGAAATTTCTCAAAAGAATTGGAACAACCGTCTTTGTTTGGACTATCCCACCCATTACTCCTCCCACACCCTAACAATCGTCTTTGTCGTCGACACAACTATCACCCCACCCTTACCTAAACCTTGCCCCACCACTCATGCCTCACCTCTGCTCCATATGTGGGGGGAGTTGTTGGGGGAAGGCAGGATGGGCGAGGCAGTGGGGGTGGGGCAATGGGTGGTAGCTGTGACGAGTACAATGGTAGGTTGGTGGTTAGTGGTAGGTTGGGGTAGGGGTAAGGTGGGGCGGGACGGTGGGTAGGGGTAGGTGGCGGGGGCCTAGAGTGGGTGGGTATGACGACGACA